ATATATCCTTCTATCTTCGCCAGGGACTTATTACTGCATTGCGCCTCATTCAAGATATTGGCATCCCTGCAAGAGCAAACGACTATTTTGTACTTCATTAAAATCTTGAATTCTGGAATGACGAACATATCTTGCGAATCCACGCATTCGATGGCACAGAATGCGAGTAATTCCGTCGGCACCTCGGCGAACGCTCGTGTAAAGTGATTTAGCCGGAACAGTTCCTTGTTATTCAGACAAAGACGTAGTCGCAGAGCTAGTGTGTCTGCAGCAGCGTCACTGGGAGCGCACAGTAAGATGTGGCACCGTGGAGACACTTTGACTAACTGAAGGGCGAGCTCGACCATAGTTTTTGTTTTACCAGTTCCCGGTGGACCTGAAATCAAAAATGGCACATCACCATAATTGCGCTTCAGAATCGAATCAATGGCCCGTTGCTGTTCGTAATTGAGGTCGTTATCGTACCACTCGAGATCAAAAATACCACTGGACAGGTTCTCTTGCATGATTCCATCTTCATTTTCAGGAAATAGTATTTTCCGAACAAATCCCTGAATTGCATTAGGTACTGGTATTCCGAACATAACTGAAATGAGAAAATTCATACTGTTGGCTCAAGCTGCATCTCGTCATGTAACTTCTCGACACAATTTGCACATTTCGAATGGAACTCTTCATCTAGGACAAATTGCACGTTAAACTTATTCGACTCAAGAAGCAATCCGTCAATTCGAACGATGACTTCTCCTTTGCCTCTATCCACGTGCCAAATGTACCCTGAATATTCGTATCCTGTAAATGCGTGATTCTCATATGCTGAATATTGTGGTCGAAGTTGTCGGAACAATAGAAGATCGCCAATTGACACTGACGGAGTGAATTCTCGAATACCGGGGCATTTTAGCTTAAATAATGCCTTTTCATAGTCACTCTCTTCTAAACACACGCCGTACATGTCGTATGTTTTTAGTTCCTCTTTTTGTGCTTTGATCTCTATGTCAATAAGCTGGGAAAGTTTGGAGTTGTATGTAGATACTGAAAGATCTCGTCCCCGAGTGATGACTGCCGGCGGTTCATAGTGGAAGGGTGGAATTACTTCTCGAGATACTAATTTTAGGCTAGCAAATCCATCGACATAGTCTTTTAGACAAAAATCTGGAGGCTTAGTCGACTCTGTTCTCAATGCCGCAAACGTGTTTACATTCTAATGCCATTAGTCGCCGAAAATAATTCTGGCAAATAAATACCTTAAGCCAGGCGGGAATAAATCTATTCGCATAAATGTCTGGGGTCCACTGTAGCTCAGCCTCGTCTAATGTTCCATTCTGTGTATCTCTTTGCTCTATGCTCAATACGGTTGGCTGACTAACTGTTGATGCAGCTTGTGGCAGCTTCGGCGAAATTCTGACATCTGAGCCTAGTTCCTGTGTAATCTGCGCCAAGGTACTGGTAGGTGGTTTGTGAATTGTTGATACAGGGGTAGAAATACTTGTTCGCGAAGTGTCTGATGAGGATCCATTTATTGAATGTGAGTGAACTAGCGGCATCACTCGCTGAGGAATACCAGACTGATATGAGCCATTGGGGGTAGCATATATTAACTGTGTACCATTCATGCGAAGTTGTGACATATTCTGTTGCAGCTGCGTAAATTGTGTATATTGCGGTGGCACAAGCTGCCGTACTTGTGGAACGCCTGCTCCGTCGCCGCTGCGATACATATGTGGCGATGGCACCGGTCGCATACTTATGTTATTGTAGAACGACTGACTGGGGCTGCATGTATAAATAGCATTTAGCTGATTTAGTAGGTCCATCTGACTTCGAATAAACGCGGAGTCGGTCGCGTTTGCTGGAATCACTTCATTCGCCTGATCCGTCCGTAACTGAAGATGAAGCGGTTCGTGTTGCATGTTTGCTGAAGACGGCTGTCGCAGTCCAGGCTGTTCAACTTTGGACGGCGGTGCTGTCCCGACGTGCGGTGACTTTACAACAGCGGCACCTGGAGGCACTGGGATATATGACTGTGGCGGATCGAGTAGAGCAACTACATGTGACTCTCTGTTCTCGTAGGGTTGAGCGGTCGCTAGGGCGGTGTATGGTGGGAGCGGAGTATTGACAGATGGACTGGTAACCACTGGACTGCTGAGTGGAGGCCCCCCTGCACCGGGCATTGCAAACCGCATACCTAGCCCTACGGGAGGTCCATAGGCAACATCGGGCGGAACAGCAAGGACACCATGAGGAGCAACTTCTGGAAATGCTAGGCGAGGAGGGGGGGTAATAAACGTGGTGAAGCTTGGCCGCAGTTGCATATTTGCGAATCTTTGCGAAATCTTGGATGCTGCACAATTACTATGATCTGCTTTTAATGGAGTCTGTTATATGTTGTTATATGTCAGTATCTAGTCGCTTTGGCGGTACCTCGCCGATTATTCCTGATTTCTGTAATTAGGAACCGTTGGAGCTTGCCGGTTCATGGGATGTTGTATCAGGGAATTGCACGAGGTAATAGAATCTAGCCGATTTAATTGGTGCAGACTAATGATAGCGTAATTGATTACTGCTCCGAAGCGCGTAGTCCACCTATGCGTTCTCGACAGGGGGGCCAGAGGGAAGTCTGGAACCTGGATGAGTCCAAGACGGCGAGAACCAAGCCATTTGGTCCACTCGGTCCACTCGGTCCCAGCGACGCCTTGTCGACAGGCGTCAAGAGGGGAGCCTGTTACAGGCCAATAAAGAACAGTGTTAGGTTTTACCTCTGGGATTCTTTGTTTTCCCACTGAGTTTCTGTTTTCCCGGGAGTGTTTCCCTGTGCCGTTGTCCAATGGATGGTCCTTCTATGGATTCTTGAGCTAACTCGAGAATACGAGCACCACTCGCCCTTCGGGGAGAGTGGCTGTGCGCTGAGGCTTGTCTCCAATGGCCAAATGGCCGGCAGGGCGGGACCACCAGATCTCGGCTTGTTCAAAATCCGGGATTTGGTGGCCGTCTAATACAAGCGCAAGCGGCTACTTCGGTTTACAAATTGATCTTAATGGACACTTCGCCAACAGTTGTACGCTCTAGTTGCATTGATTGAAAATGCACGAAGCTTGTCTATGATTTTGACCATGGCAGATAGTGACAACAACCAGTGTCAATTACAATGTAGTTTATCCACTATCATCTCGATGACCAATCTTTCTGACATGCGTACATCGAATTATCTCTACAATAAAGTAATTTCGGCCCAATAATGTGAATACAAACCAAGCCATCCATAAAAGCCTATATCTTGAGACAAAAGCGATGCCGGTCCCCATTACTCTTTGGGAGCGAATTCAGGACCAAATGTGCCCTCCACAGTATTGAACTGAGCGTTCTTGTTCAACTTGGACAAAGCGAAGACGTCCTCGATGTCCAGAACGATGATCGTGAAATTCTCCCTGATACGCTCAGCGTGAACACTCTTCGGAATAACAGAGTTTCCCAAAGCAACCTGAAAAGAAATCAAAATCTGGTTCGAAGTGGCATTATACTTTTCCGCAATCCTCTTGACAACAGGATCGTCAATCAGCTTGCCCTTAATACCCTTCTCCTTTAGCTTATCATTGTATGTTGGATTCAAGTTACCGAAAGGAGAGTACGCGGTAACGTGAATCCCGTGGTCCTTGGCAAGCTCTCTGATGTCGCCACGCGTGTTGTACGGGTGAAGCTCGACCTGCGTAGCGGCAGGAACAATTTCCGAATTCTTCAACAGTCTATTTAATTGACCGACAGTGAAGTTGGAAACACCTATATTTCTCACTTTCTTTGTCTCCTTGAATATTTTTTCCATGGCATTCCAAGTGACAACATAGTCCGTGCCCAATGGGTCAGCAACACCATGTCCATTCTCATCCTTAGCGAACAATTCTGGGCCAGGCTTCAATGCGACTGGCCAGTGCATGTAGTACATATCGAGGTAATCGGTCTTCAACTTTTCCAGACTCTTGCTGAGAGCGGGAAGAACATCCTCTGGTCTGTGAGAATTGCACCATAGCTTACTGGTGAGAAAGATCTCAGATCGTGGAACACCCGACTCCTGAATGGCATCGCCGATACTGTCTTCGTTGCCATCTAGATCAGAGTTAATCTTTGTCAGTATAATGGTGCTGGCAAGTCATACAAATGGTAGCCGTGTCAATGTGACGGTAGCCAATCTTTAGCGCTTCCTTAACAGCATTCTTAACCTGTTCGGGCTCAGAGCGCCAGGTACCGAGGCCAATTGCTGGGATAGTAGCGCCGGTGTTGAGCTTGAAGTATTTCTCTGTAGGGTTAGCTATGTGCGTGTGGGTCTGTGTGGTAGTCATTGTGTATGCTGTAAAACTGGCAAACTGTGCAATCGAACGTATGAGGAGTGAAATCTTTAGACTTCGTGCAAAAGAACGTAAGAAATAGAAAACAGGAATGGCAGAGATGCAAGGTTTTTGTTGTATTCTAAGTGTGCGTCCTCATCGAAGGATGACGTCGACAGTTGCAGAGCGTTGCCAGATATCGCCACAGAGCTCAGAATTAGACTCGACGATGCGAACAGAGCGTGGTATCGTGCGTTGATCAGAATCTAGCGAATCCGGCAAGGGGTAGGTCGCGGTGGGCTCCGGTTGGATCGCGTCAGAAAAATGTAGAAACGTTGACGAAGAGAAGGCTATGATCGACAATCCAAACCTGCCGTAAATTGCTAGAAGCGGATCTACAGTCATCACAGACGCCACTGACATCGATCTAGGTAGGAATGGCGACCCGTCGAAGAACAAGGCAAAAGAGGTAGTGATGGTCCAGTCCCTTGCGATAGTCATCGTTGTGTCATTATTACCATATTTGTCGCTATAGTAGCAGTCCTTAGTTTGTCAACAGCGCTTTCGCAAAAACAGTATATGTAAGATAAACAATATTCTACTTCTTATTCGATGGTTACTGGCTGCTCTAGCAATATCGCCAAAATAGTATTAGATTCAAATAATAATAGCAAAAAAAATTGCGATGTCTGTGGATCGAACACAGGACCTTCAGATGTCATAACCAAAGTTTTATGCTTCAGTCTGACGCTCTCCCAACTGAGCTAACCCCGCAACTAGTTCTTAACACTGATATGATCCTCGTTGAAGCATAAGAACGGGTTAGGGTGCATCCTCCACTGCATTTACAATCCAAAGAAAACCGGAATGAAAGAAGCATGCTGCCTTTGTTTTTGTAGACAAGGCAGCAGAGTATTACCACGGGATTGGGAGATATTTGTAGAAGTTTCATGGAGCTTGGTGCAAGCAATGATACTCTGTTTTTCGTCAAGCCCACAGAGACGCAAGAACGCGTCAAAAACCTAACCTCAAGTAGCTCCGACGCGTAACGTCCGCGCTGCACGGTTCTGCCAGCGCTGTCTACAAAGCCGTCGTGCCAAACTCCCCGAGGATCAACATACTAACACACCGGTGTCCCACGTCATACTATTAGCAACGTAGAACGAGCAACAAATTTAACAAAATTTGACAGCTGATCACTTAGCCGAGGATCGTGCGTTTGTTTGAAAGACTACTAGATGCCAGCACGCACACTCACTCGCAGTCATCAGCGAGCGCAATCGTCGTCGAAGATGTCTTCGCAAGACTCTAGAGATTTACCGCCCGTGCCTCCAATGACAGCCGCACGACTGATCGTGAAACCGATTGATAGTGATGAAGAAATAGGCGAGGAAGAGGAGTTAATGAGTGTTGCTGGCATAATTGATAAGGCGAGTCAAAAGAGACATAGGAATGCGACCGCGGTGTTCACATCCGACTCCAGGCGATATCCAAGTACGTAATTTAATAACTATATCGTGATAAAGATGCTACTATCAATAACTGTTTACTGGAGACATCTCGACTGTCTAGGAGTTAAAACTAACGCGTGTTTCTTTAGAGCGCAAGCGCGGTGTCTCGACGCGTTCGGACTTATACGAGGAGCAAGAAGCAGCAGAAGAGCAAACTTCAGATCCTGATGACGAAGATATGGAAGATGTAGCCGAGGAGGCGGCTCTTAGCGATACTAGTAGTACTTCACCCGTCACCTCTGCCAGACGGCTACCACGACCTTTGAATGGTGCGCCTGCAATACTCAAGCCGTCAGATAAAGCCGCTACCACCAAAAACAAGGTCTCCAGTGGCCGCAAACGAGTGGGCGTCAGCGGTGGAGTCCAGGAGAATGGTGACGACGTAAACCCGTTATTTGGTGCGTGTCTTGTGGTGTATATGGATTAGATTCTAACATGTGGCGCAGAGGCGGTGAAAGATGCAGGCACAGCTTTAGAAGAAACTGCAGCAGACTGGATTCAGAACTATGAAAAAAATAAAGTTCAGGCCATGATGGAAATGGTCAATTTTATCCTACAAGTACGTAATTTAGGATGACTTTATGTCTTACAGATACCGACTGACGTGCGTAGTGCTGCGGATGCGATTCCTCCGTAACAGCCTACGATATTGAGGATCAAGATTCTGTTACACAAACTTTGGCACAAATTCAAGATGTTTTCGGCAAAAAGAAGATCAGCGACTATCCACTTGTGTCTAAGCGCCTTGAGTTCAAGAAGTTCCGAAGCCATCTTGTCGACTTTTTCGCAGCATTTATTGACAAGGGCGCTGAGCGTGAAACATTATACGAGGACGATTCACTTATGGAAAGTATTCAAATTTGGATTACTGCAATGTCCAGCTCGACACTCCGCCCATTCCGATATACTGCTACCACAGTCGGTCTTTCTATTCTCACCGCCCTGTGTAATGCGGCTGCCGATATAGCCAAAGCCACAGGCCGATCAACGAAGCTGCTGGAGAAAGAGAAATCTAAGCCCAGACCCGCAGTTGCCAAGATACAAAAACTTCAGGCTACAGTTGACCACTATGCACAAAAGACAGAGACACTCGAGAATCTCATCAGTGACTTATTCGACACTATTTTCGTTCACAGGTACCGCGATATCGATGCAAAAATTCGAACTGACTGTATCCGCGAGCTCGGAAAATGGATGCAGACACTGCCTGATGTCTTTTTCGAGGGCGCTTACCTCCGCTATATGGGTTGGATACTCTCTGATGCAAACGGCAGTACTCGCCACGAAGTCGTCAAGGGCTTAACTAAACTCTACAAGGATAACTACTTCATCGGTGGTCTGAGACAGTTTACGGAGAGATTCACTTCTCGGCTCGTGGAAATGGCGACACATGATGTTGATCATTCTGTTCGCATTGCGGTTATCGATTTACTGGATGCAATTAGGGCAGTTGGATTCCTTGAACAGGAGGATATTGATACGGTTTGCGGGCTAGTTTTTGACACGAATCCTCGCGTTCGTAAAGCAGTTGTTGGCTTCTTCATGGCCAATATCAAAGAGATCGTCGTTGAAAAGTTGACTAATATCGGTGACGTTGAGGATATTCGTGAATACTTGTCTGGCGAAGTGGCAGATGAAAGCGACGTCACCTCTGCTGAGGAGGGCGGCAGAGACGAAAATTTGGTCTCGAGATCCTGGTTCACGCTAAAGTCTATCATTGAAATTTTGGAGTCTTACAATCCTCAGACACTTGGAAATCCCATTCATTTGTCCAAATTGGAGTTACTGATTGGTGGCCGTACTGAGTCTCGATTCTCAATTGCTGCGGAAGCTTTATGGAATGTTACCCAGTTACCGGTATGTTTATAGCTGAAACGGCCGAGATATAGAACTAATCCATGTATAGTCTTGGATTGAAATCGTCAACTACGCGCTTTTCGATCCTTCAGTCTCCGTGAACGACAACGAAGATTCTATTGGATACAAGATTAAGAAGGAGATCGCATTGACCGCTCAGCAGGAGCAAATCCTCTTAGAAATTGGAATTGGCGCTGCTGACGCTGCTGACAGGCCTCCAGAGAATTTAGCAGACAAACGAGTCAAACGAGCAAGAGGCAATGAACGCGAAGAGCGCATAAAGGAAATCTCAGAGGATCTTATCCCACTTCTTCCTAGGCTATTCAAGAAGTTCTCGTCAGATCCTGAGACAGCCTGCAATGTTATTCGGTATCATAATTTCATTAACCTCGACGTCTACCAGCAACTGCGACAGACTGTGGCATACCAGGACGTTTTTGACGCAATTTGCAAAATATTCATGTCATTTGATAATTCGTCGATTGTCCGAGAATTTTCTCAGGCGGTTTTACATGCTCAATCATGCGCCTACGTATCCGAAATTGTTGAGCCGCGCATTCGAGACCTTCAAGACGACCTTTCCACCACATTCCGTGCCACTGTGAAAGGATTGGAAAATGACCTGGCCAGTACGGTGTTCAGCAAGGATGTATTGGCCGCTATCACTACCGTTCTCACCAAACTCATGCATGTGTCGTCCATTACAGATACTTCCGAGGCTCTGGATTATACACGGCGCGATACGGAGATCCCGAACTTAAGAATTATTTTGGCGCTTCTCGACCGTATTGCTTCGCCAGACGACGATGAAGTCGACGCCTTGTGTGCCGGCGTTTCAACGTTGCGGTTTTACGTTATGTGGCGCGTGAAGCGGGCTATTGATCTCAAGTCGACCGCCGCCTTCAACGACTTTAGGATAACGTTGGACGAGATCATGGAAAGATTCGAACGCATCATTTTGTCTCGTGCACATCTAAGTCTGAGACACACTGTATGTATTGCTCTACTAATACCGATCAAGCTTGCATGCTCACGAATATAGGCGATATGCGCGACAATTGACTCGATGGTCTCCCTGAACGTCCTGGTCAAGAGGGAGAATTTGGATCTCATGGGTATCGACGTGGTCATTGCACCTAAACTTCAGAAGGCTATAATGCACATTTTTTCGCGGGAACAAAAGGCCTATGCGAAGTCTGCGAAGATTAAGCTTTCGTCTGGCGGATCAATGTCCGCTACAGCTGTTGACGAGGCTGCAGTTGTCGAAAATGCCGATGAAGAAAGCAATCAGAGTAGCGACTTGGAAGCGCTTAGTAAAGAGGACGAGGAGGAGGAGGATTCAGCTGAGGTGGAGGACGACAACGAGGCGGTGACCGACGAAGGTAAGATTCCATAGAGGATTGAGATTGGCGTATGGCTTGTTAACCATGGATTAGCTGTGCAAAACATCGAGACCGAGATCAGATTGTGTGAGGTGACTGGCAAAATTGTTATTGGTGTGCTAATCGGCTCCATGGACCAAAAGTGGGCGAAGCGACTCCTCCAGAATTCGAAAGCGTTAGGGGCAGGATATGACCGAGTCGTTAACGAATTAAGAACTGTGGTCGTTGCAACCGAAATGCAGAAAATTTAATTCAGCTACGCAGTTGCTTGCTATGATAAAACATTGATGTGGGCTTAGTTTTGTGTACTGGGGTTTTTGTACGAATATATACCGTGCTGCTTTGCAAATAAAGTGATGTAAATTATTGTGTAATCTTTATTAAGTGACTATTGTACAAGTACGATAGATAAACGCCTGTGCTACTCGATATTCTACACCGCATCTTCGGGATGCAATTTGCGTTGGTTCCGCTCCACCATCGCCCTGTACTTGCCAATAACTTGTTCTCTTTCCGCCTCCAATGCCAATCTCTCCGACAATGGTCCCGCTTTCTTAGGAACGTTCACTAACGTTTTTGACGGAGGTTTCAAGACCGGCGGTGCAGCTGCAATTTCTCCGAACTTCGGAGGCGCAGGCCGAGACAACCTCTTCCATGGATCAGGCGAGCTTGAACGCTTCGTTTTGAGTTCCATGTATCTCCGTTCCTCTGCCTCATCATCGCTGTAGTCTACACCGTCGTCGTCGTCGTCTGCTTCTGCGACAGTTCCTTTCTTGTGCTTTGACCTAAGCGGCTTTTGACCATTTGCTTCTGCGATTTCGCGTTTCTTCATTTTGCGGATTGCTTCCATTGACGGGGCTCCCGATTTCGCTCGCACGACAGGTAGCGCTTCGTTGACTCGTCTATGACTATATTAGCGCTCATGCTATAATAGCGACAAATCGATCCGGATCAGAGCAGCGTACCTCGTAAAATCAGCAAACGATTCGCCAGGCAATATCTTCAACTTCTCCAGCTTCCTAGCCTCACTCCTCGCCTTCTTCTCCGCGGCTGCAACAGCCTCTAACCTCTTCTGCTCCTTCTTCTTCCTAACGTTGCCATCCTTCTCGCTCTCCTCTGATGCACCCTTTGCATCTATTCCTTTATTCAAACGACTCATCAACTCCGCAAACGCGCGTGGCGTATTCCCACCGACTTCCTCCTTCTTCCTCGGCAGTTTCTTCTTCGGTTTGCTCACTTTCGCGCCATCCTCCGTTCTTGCTCGAAGTTTCTCTTTGTCTACTGGTGGTGGTGAATGTTGTCGACGTCGTGATCCTCTAATCCTAAGTCCTCGCTTAGCAGTTCATATCTCGCAAAACCATTAATTACGGATACGTACTTTCGTGTCGACTGCTTATGTCTTTTGAATTTCATATCGAATTAGTAACCTGCACAAAAAGCTTGTGGGAACTTCGGAGTCGAGACTTAGATCTTGGGAGTTTAGAATTTCTTGCTATTTACTGCCCTTGCATGTGCCGCCCATCAGATATACTTTCACCTTACAAAATTTTAAAATTCTTGAAACTATACATTCAATTTGGTTTAGCCAAGTACAGCCTACAGCATACCTAAAATGAAGTGAATAAGCAAACTTGGCCGGATAAAGTGAATCAAAGGGTTCGCTAGCTACTGTGCAGTGAAGGAATAATGAAAGAACGTAAAATACGCACGTCGTTTTATTTTTACATGAAAAAGTTTATGCAACAATCAGTACAAACTACATTTAAACATTACACAAAAAAGATGGAGACAAGAGTTTCCTTTCGACTGATAGCATGATTTCGATTTTCTGCTATCACGTGATGTAAATTCTCTACATATTTAATTTTTCAAGTGAAGTTTTTAACGCAGAATTGGTTGGCCGTGTGGTCTAGTAGTATGATACTCGCTTTGGGATGAATACGTTCTGAAGATTGCGAGTGGTCCTGGGTTCAATTCCCAGCTCGGCCCTAATATTTTAATTTAGAATATTATCTCTATATTTTTTGATGTAGGCTTTATGATTTGAAGTGTACATGGTAGTTTGGTAGATATTGGCAGACGAGGGGTCAGCAAAGGCAATGCGGATCTACATTTGCGTATGTTGTACATAATATCCCATTATAATCAAAACAAGTAACAAATTTCAAGCATACCCTCGAACAAAACGATCGAACTGTAAAATCTTCTAATGAACTCCGACTACAGACAACTCCAAGGTCCACATCCGTCTAACATGCACTTTCACCTCGACATCCGGATCAAATCCTTCGATGCCCTTGACAACTAACTGGTCCCACCAGCATTTCCGGGCCGGTTTTCGCCAGAATAGAAGGAGTTTCTGGGCCATGGGATTGACGGCCATTTGCTGATGTTGTTCGGAAGATGATTGTAAGGTCGGAGTTCCAGGGTCGGCCGTTGCGAGGAGACGGACTAGCGCCAAGGAGCTGATGACTGTCTTGTTTGGCTCGCGTTCTCGAATACCCCATTCGTCTGTCTCATGGAATCCGGAAGAACAGAGCATATCGAGGAGATGCTTCTCAGCTGTTCCTGCCGCTTGAGCATGGTCGAGTGTTTCGCCGGGAGATAAGGGCACGGCATCAGATATTGCTTGTCGCGCCCGCTTGAGCGCAGAAAATATACCACGTTCGGCAAGTAGCTTGTTCCCTACTCCGATTTTGAGACGCACGACGTCAGCGTAGGTCGGTAGTTCTTGGATGTCCTTATCCTTCCAGTCGGGATTATACGACTCTGGAAGTTGCAGGATGGCAGAGTGGGTCAAATCCGGTCTGTTTTCGTGTTCGGATTGAGTGATAGAATGGTGGTGAAGCAGTTTTGAAAATCGATGGGACGGGGAAGTTTGGCTTGTCGTAGGCGGTACTGTCCGGTTCAGATGGGCGACTGTGGGCGGTGGGATGACGTAGTAGTCAAGGTCTTCTTGTAAGACTATTATGGCGGGTTTGAGCGCGAGAATGGAAATTGATGAGGTCAGCGGGGGAATTGCGGTCGTAGAGGCTGGTGGTGAAGATGTCGGCGAGGAGGGCGGCGACGGTGTGACAGTAGTCGAGATTGCACGGAATGTGTCGACGACGTAATCGAGACAGCTTGGAGAGAACTAGCAACGTTAGGCAATATTCACAACTATTCAGGATGCTACACACATCAATTGAGATGATATCGTGGCCTGATATATTGTTGACCATGTTGCCCTGGCCATCGACAAAGACGCCGCCGGGAAAAAGACACAGGAGCACGCTCTCGGGGAGGGCCATGAGCTCCTCTCGCTGAAGGACGAAGCGGCGGCCACGGAGCTCGAGGGTGATAGTGTTGTCGCTGGCTGTGTCGGGGGGTGCATCGGAGTGGGAGAAGAGGCCGACGGTGTGAGCCTGGACCTGGGTGATGATGCTGTGGTGAGCAGCAGCAGCAGCCGCCTCGCCTGTGGCCGGATTCGCTGTCATGAAGAGGGACAGCTGCGGGAGTGAGGGCAGCGGGGTATACGGCGGCGGCGGCGAGTCGTCTTCTGCGCCTGGCGGAGGAGGAGGCGGAGGCGGCGGGGTGTACGCGGCGATGTGCGGCGACGTGATGACCTTGGTGCACTGCGGCGGCGACTGCTATGACAAATTAACGATGCTTGGATAGAATGTAGGTTGTGTATAACACTTTGATAGACGACGGTGCGTAGAGTTCTGAGTCGTAGGGTGCGGACTCAATTAGCCTTTATCGCTCTGGAAGATGCTCGATTGGCCCAGTATATGCTGACGATGGCTGCTCAGTAAAGATAGGCGCGTGCTCGCTCGTCAGAGGCGGACACTGCGGACGAAGGACGTTGGAACACAAGCAGGTGAGTGACAGCATCCACGTCCTACTGCGAACTTGTGATGGTGGTTAATTACCCGGCGCTCCAGAATTTGTTTGGGCACTCAATCTACGGCGCATTTAGCCTTGCATAATGGATAATGCAAATTGTATTATATCAGTCTTGATAAATAAAAAACTCGTAAGCCTTGTAACAGTAACATGATACGCCAAACCACCAAAATAACTAAAATGCAGCCGACATTTAAAACGATTCTTCCCACGCTCCGATTCGAAATTTTCCTTCACCGCCCAACTCTTTCTGCGCGCTGTCGAAAGGCGAGCTAATTACTCCGTCTCCAGCAGCGTACGATTCAGTGTATTCGCCATTACTAACTGCTTCAACCATTTTATTCCCTTGCACGACAACTTCCTTATCCCGCAGCCGCCGCATGAGAGCAAGGAATGTACTATCCTTGAATTTCTGTGTCTGATTCGACTGTAACGATTCCAGTAATCCACTAGCAATGGCGGCCAGTCCGTCGTCATCATCCTGCTGATCCATACCCTCCTTTGCCTGCTCCGCATCGTCCTGCAGTGAAATCGCTTCCAGGATCCGATCAAACTCCTCCGTAAACGCCGCATCTTGCCGCGAACGCTCCGCAGTACTACTCCGCGTGGACGAATCAACCTGTTGATGTATCGGCACACCCTGAGCATAGGCAAACGGCTGGTGCGCCATCCTAGATGGATACCCACCAAACCTCACGCTCTCCTGCGGCACTGTCACAGGTGGTACACTCGCTGGTCCGTCAAGAAACTGCATGAAATCCTGATGCCAGGTAGATGACAACGGCGTTTGTTCTTGCCTTTGCTGCTGCCGAAACGCCAGATGACCTTGCTCCTGAGCATGTATCATCTTTTCGACATGATGACGATGCTGCTGCTGGTGCTCAGATATCTGCATACTCGCCAAATCTCCGGAAATGAAATCTGCAGTCCCGCTCGCCATCAAGCCTGTACTCGCTCCCTGCGCACTTAAAAACGCAGCATATCCATCATCAAGACTTCCCTCCTGCTGCGCACTCGTGCGAAAATTAGCACCAGCAGATGACGGCCCCGCTTGTGGCGCCGACGACGACTGAGAAACTAAGCGGTCCTGCTGCAGTGACCGGTCAGCTGTGGCATGCTTCTGGAAGGCGCCGAGTGGCGTTGATGGACCGCATGCTGCGTCCATTCCGTAATAGCTGATAAGTTACAATTATATATTAAGCGATATAAATAGTCTGATCAGTAGTATTGCATATGAAAGAGTGAGAGTGACGAATCGGTCGTCGAGGTTATTTCGAGGTCAGCGAAGAATGTGGGGTGAGCAATTAGCGAGGCTATTTGTGCGGCGGTGCCAGGTTGGTCGAGGCCCAAGTTGGCAAGCCGATCAAAATGGGCGTGGGTTAGGTTTCTTAGCAGAGGCGCGTGTAATGTCGGTGTCGAGAGTTCCCCCAGGTTCTGCTTAATTTAACTTGTAGATGATGATTACAAATATATAAATGAGCTCGAGACTGGCAAAATTACAGCCGATGCGGTCTACTTCCTCTAATCGTGCCATCAAAATCATCGCATAACTGATAGATGCATTCGTACGACACAAATAATATTAACAATATAATACACGATACCAGACCAAACGTCAGACGCATATTGTGGTAACATCCCGATCAGTACCATAAATAAATAACATACTAATTCCCAAAAAAAAGAACACAATCAGACCGCGACCTTAGCAAGTAACATAAATCATATCCAAATAACAATGAAATCAAAATCCCACGCACATAATAAGTCACAAAGAAATGTACAAGTTGACAATATAGTAAGAATTTAGATTTTAGGTTCGTCTTGCTATATATTCTCCATGCCACGTTCATCTATATTTCAATCTAGTATTTCGAATTCGCGTTACCTCGCGCGGTCGCTCCAAGCGCTTCCAACTCCATGACTCCCGGCAATTGTGCGGTGGACTTGATAAAACTCGCGCGATCGTCCCGCATGGGCTGGTACCGAGTGTCAGGGTTTTTGGATAGTAACGCGAACAAGCACGAGATGATAATCATAATGATCAAGACCAACGCGAACGCGGCATTAAGAACAAAGAAAACAACGCCCATCACACCGATGACGATACCAGGGACTTTGGTCACTCCCGTGAAGAAGAAGAATAGAATCGCATTCAAAAAGTTGACCGACTGTATCGTGATGTTGAAAATATTCGTGCGCCGATCCATGTATGGCTTCACAATTGAGATCAGGAGCAGATAGAAGAACTCGATAACCATTAGGACGATGCCCTGCATTGTGCCAGCACTCTGGCCAAACGCGATGAAGCAGGCCTTGATAAAAGTGTAGAGCAGGACCGGAACAATGAAGTAGTAAGCGGTCGCTCGGAACTGAACATAGACGAAGCCCCATCGAGTCAAGGCTGCAGAATCTGAATATAAAATATATGCCGGGTTTTTGTAAACCGCAACCGAGCGCTTGGCAAGGCGGATGACCTTGAATGCGGCCCAGGCTAAAAGACCGTTGACCATAAGCAGCATGACGACAGCAAGTACAATAGCTGCAGGTGAGTCGCGCTCAGTGAGCTCCCAAAGTGAAAGAATGGTCATCTGCGGGAACGCAATAAGAATCATTCGATATATTGTACCCTTTATGATGGTGAGCCATCTCTGTCTAAACTCGCCGAATCGGTTAGGAGCAATCCAATTCATTCTTGACAGTCCTTCGAAGATCAACTTGAGCATGACAAGGATGAAGCTGATAATGAAAGTGAAGAAGATGAAGAATGTGAAACCCGTGATAAACAAGTTTGTAATCTCGATGCCGGCAAGATACGCGACACGTCTGATACCGTGAAGAGTATACGTGGTCGATATAGTCGTAAGATCAGAATTGTTGTTGGATCGGGCAACCAAGCCAGGCGATCGTTTGGCTAAGTACTCGAGTGAACGCTTCTGAACATAAATTGAAACCGAACTCAGATTCTGGAAAAGTGTGGATGGTGTACCACCAGTGGCTTGAATATACCAGTTGAAAATCGACTGCATGAAAGTTACCTTGATGATACCCATGGTCCATTCAAAATCCTGAGCCCACGCAAATGTAAGCGGTGGAAGCGTCAT